CTGTTTAAAGCATCTCCCTGGGCACTTGACAGGCGGCCCTCCCGGGCTGTGGCTTTTAAGGTCCTCTGGTGGAACCACAGAGCAGTTGCTTTGGAAACATAATATTCTAAGCTGTCTTCTTGTTTTTCTTTCCCTTCAGCCTTTCCTAAAATAGATATGTTATTGTGGGAAAATAGGATTTGGAAAAATACTTAAGTGATCTGGCAATTGATTGTTGAATTTTATTAAAAAATTATTTTGTTTACCAAAATACTTTGAAAAAGATACTCTTTTTTTCCTCATTTAACAGAGGTATAGAGAAGTTGAAACATCTGGTGAGATTAATATTTATAAAAAAGGCTTGACTGTTGCCTAAACTGCTTCTCACTCTTAGTTACCTTTCAACCAAAATTCCTTGCACAGAAAGAAATTTCTCTCTGGATTGCAAGGAAATTGTTACTTGGCCCTCAGTTTATCTGGCACTACCCTGAGAGAATGCCTCACGGTGGGGAGAATGGAGAAAAGGCTGCAGCCCATACACCTTTCCCCTCACTCCTCACCCACACCCAGGGGAAGGGAAGGGAAGGGAATGCCATCTGCAGTGAGGAAGCTTGGGGGTTGGTATAAAGCCAGGCCTCACTCTTCTAAACTGATTCTGCAAACCTCTAGTGACTCGGCTTTGCAGTTGGTGTAATAAGGAGTGTGTCACACAGTTATATCCTCAGTTAAACCAGACTTACTCCGTGAAGCAAGAGTCAGTAGGTAGACTGGAGACCTTTCTTTAAATTATGCAAAGGATTCTTGGGCTGAAGCTTTCTTACATAGTTGTAACAATACCACATCAGCCCTAGTTATGGGCCTTGAGCATTGGAAGCAGAAATATCAAACATTTGACTAGAATCGTAGCAAAGACTGATTTAACACTTACCTTATGCCAGGTACTGGGCTAACTCATTTAATTTTAATGTTTATTGCCTTATTACTGTCCCCTTTCCACAGAGGGAACATTCTGGGAGACCTGAACGGTAAGAGAAAAGGACTGTTAGTCTAAAAGGGCAGGGCCTAGGGTTCAGGGAAAATGCCAGACATACCTGTTTCAGGTTGGGCTGAGGACAAGCTGTTTCTTTGTGCTTTGTTCTAAAGACTTCTCAAGTGTACTGAACCTGTGTTTCAAATGATCTTGTTTCCTGGGATGCTTTGGTAGCATTCCAGAAAGTGCCATGAAAATGGTTATCATGCTCAAGGTTATACCTCATTTATGGTTAAATGTGGTCTTAGATGGGAAAAGTCAACTCTCACAGTAAAAAATCATTGACTCCATGAATTGTGTCATCCAGTCTCAGCTGTGATGCTTGCCTAAATTTTCTTCTTTCAGTGAAAAGATGCATGGAACCACGACTGGTTATTGAATTTGTCTCATAAGGAGAGAAGAAAGCTTCTAACTAGGTTTTAATTATAGCTCTTCACATGCTCCTGGTCTAATTAACATTTGCTTTACTCCAAGGAAGGAGAAAATACATATGGTTTTGCAGTGGTACTGTTTGTATGCTGGTTACTTGGAAAATGCCACACAAATAATGCCACTCGTTTGTTCTTGGAGTAGTTGATGGTATGGAGAATCACATAGGTAGTGGCAAGCTGTCTGTTGTGGCCTGCTTTCTCATTGTAGTACAGTCCTCTCTTTTGAGCTGATTTGCAAACACCTACCATAGACACCTGCCCTTACCTTCAATGCCTCACCTGCATCAAACTCAAACTGCAACCTCCTGGGCCCCCCCGCCCAAGCTTACTTGTGGCTTGATGAATTTCTGGGGAACTGACCCAAGTAGCTCTTTGGAAAGAAGCCAGGTCTGAGCCCTGAAGGGAAACTGTGATGTTGACTAGAGCAGGGCCTCCTCTGATGTGCTCCTCATGAGGCTGGAGAGAAGATCACTCATTTGCTTTGAGACCCTCTGGGGTCCCCTACCCATGGACACATTGTTTCCTCTCATGGGGAAGGAGGGAGCAGAGGCCTCTTAAACTGGCCCATTTTATGGAGCTTTGGTGAGGGTCTTAGGTGAGTAAACTTGGTCTTTGTGTGTTAAATTATTCTATCTCTTCTGAAATAGGGATATTTGAGAATTTTCATGTCCACAGTATGAACTTTAAGGAAGAGTTTCCATCTTGTGAACAGAATTCAGAGGAATGTCATCAAATTCAAGCCTCATTAAAATCTTTTCTGGTTTCTTAATTTCTCATTTGCAAAACAGAAATGAAGCTCTCTCTTTTTTTGCTGCAAATGAAACATTAGGTCTAGATTTGGGGAAAGAAACATAGTGCCTTAAACTCTTTGTCATTAGTTTAGCAAATATTTGTTCAGCATCTCTTGTGCACAAGTCCCTGTGCTGGATTCTTTCGATGTGGGAGCCACAGTCACCACCGTCTGAAAGCTTTCAGAAGAGCATAAAACAGACTCATTAACAAAAGGCTTAAAGGGAGCATATGAGCAAATAACTTCAAGTCATGGCAGGGTCAGCTTAGAGGAAGGAGAATGGACTCAGGCTTCAGTGCTCAAGGAAGCAATGATGAAAAAAATAGAATTTTAATGGAACTTTGAAGGATAGATAGTATTTGAGAGCTGGAGATGGGGGTTCATGAGTGCAGAGAGCATTCCCCTTGAAAAGGAAACAAAAATGGTCACTGCCAACATTTATTATGCTTATCCTGTGTACCATGTTAGGTAAGATAAGCATTACACACTTTGTCTCATTGACTTCTTGGCACCCTTCAGAGGTGAGAGCATTATGTTTCTCCCATTTGAAGAGTAAGGGAACTGAGGCTTAAAGAAATTGAAATACCTTGGCCATGGTCACCTAGCTAAACATGGGGAAGCTAGGATTTAATTGGCTAATGCCCAAACCTGCACTCTTTCCCCACAGCTACTGTGTTAAGGAAAGACATGTGGAGAATGAGAAGAGGTCCAGTTTGACTGCAGATAAGGGAGGAGTGAAAGATTAGCTGGTGGTACATTGCAGGTGAATGTGAATACCTGGACACTGCACATAGGATTTAGGGTTTCATTCTGAAGGCAGGGATGAGTCAATGAAGGGTTTTAAACATGAAATTCAATGGTTTGAGGGGCCCAGTAGCCCCAGTACAAGTGGTAAGTAGCAGTAGCAATGGTGATAGTAGAAGTGGAGTAGCTGGGGTGCAGTGTTGCACTGAATCCCGTGGAGTTCCTGCGGGGGTCTCTACAAGTGGAACGGGAGTGGTGGGCTCAGGTCAAGTGCATTGGCACCAAATGGGCAGCTTCTGGTGTGTGTGCTTTGTTTGTGCTTCAGTAGTGACTTTTACCACCTACTTTGAGTTCTTTAGCTGTGTTCTCTGTTACTTCTTTCCCAAAACGCTACTGGTAGATGAACTATTTCTTATTTGAAGTTCAGTAACAAAAAGCCACTGGTTCCCAGTCCTAGTTGCACATTGGAATTACCTTGAGAGCTTTGTAAAAGGCCCCTCAAGATTCTGGGTTAATGGTCTGGAGTGAGGCCAGGCATTAGTAATTTTTAAAGACTCCCCAGGTGATCCTGTTATGCAGCTAGAATGGGAACCTCGACCTTAAGCTACTGATTTTCACACTTTAGCTGCATCAAAATCGCCTGTTAAAACATACTACTGGGCTTCACACCCAGAAATTTCTGATTCAGAAGATCTGGGATGGGGCCTGAGATTTTGTATTTCTAACAAGTTCCTGGGTGGTATCGATACTACTGGTTGGGATCACACTTTGAAAACCACAACACTGGATTCTCTAAGATTGATGGTCCACTCCCAGAATTTTCAATTCTGAAGATGTGGGGTAGGTTCAAGAATCTGCATTTCTTATAAGTTACCGGGTGAAGCCGATGCTGCTGGACTGGGGAGCACACCTTGGGAACCAGTGGCCAATTCCTCCTGCTGGATACCAGGATGATTTCAGGCACAAGGCTGGCCACCTAACATTTTTCTCCAACTGGCACCTCTAGTCACCAGGAAAACTTGAGGTTGCCCTAGGCTTTTGGAGGATGCCGAAGAGGAGCAGGGAGTTTGCATAGAGAATAGCATCTCATAGGTGTTTGTCTGGAACATAGTGGGTGAACAGTGTGGAGATGCACAGGGTGGTCAAATTAAACTTTCCACCTGGACTGTTGGAGTGCGTCCTCAGGTCTCACCTAGGCCATTCATTGTGTTCCGATTAAGAAACTGAGGCCCCCACAATGAGCTGGTGGTGATTGCAGGACTGTAACCTAGAGCTTGCACTCCAATTCTGGGGTCCTTTCTGTAAAACCACAGTGCCTGCTGTGCTGCAGGTGAGTTCTGAGGCATGGGCACCGTTTCCTCAGTCTGCAGACAGTTCATGGACCTGGAGGATGATACAGCAACAGGAAATAACGAAGAAGACCAAGTTGGACTTCATTATCCTTAGACCTACAGCAGTGATCTCCAGATGAGCAGTGTCAGTATCACCTGGGAACTTGTTAGAAATGCACTTTCTTGGACCCCAGACCTACTGGATCAGAAACACCCCCCAGTGATCCATGCTTTAAGCTGCCCTTCAGGTGGTCCTGATGCTGCACACTCAAGTTTGAGGACTCTGGCTTAGGGAAAGTGGCCCGAGGTAGTGCAGATGGGGGGCAGGACAGGGAACCTGTGACTGGGTTGGTCTCGGCACTTGTGGTAGGACCAAGGGGAAGATGGACTGAGGATTCTGCAGAGAGGCAGTGGGTAAAGGGAGGGGTCTCTGGAGGCAGCATCCTGGGAGTGGCTCCTGGGTTCACCACTTAATCTGTTATGGTGCCCTCCCCTTGTGAAATTAAGACTCATGTCATTAAAATTTTCCCTTAGTTCACACTTCCTTATAATTATGATTTTTTTCTCAGAGAAAACTTGCCTCAGCACAGCCCAAGGTAAATTTTCACTGATTCTGAAACTAATGAAGTTTAATTGAATAGGGCTTTACCTGGTTCTGATTATTGTTGGTGATTAGCTTTTTTTCTCTTTTTTAGTTAGTGATGGGAGTGTGGCAAGGCAAATACAACTTCTTCTGTCAGGGCACACGCAGTGCAGGAGAAGCAGATATGAAGGTACTGTCTCTTTTTTTTAATAGTATTTACTATATGAAGGTGTTGAGTTTTTAAAATAATTGCACAAAAGACAAAATGGACTATAATCTCACCACCCAAGTAATCCCTCTTGACATTTTAAAAAGAAATTAAAAAGCTATATGTACACATGGTATGAAAATTTGAACAAATATGAAAGGTTAATGAAAAACTAAAGCCTCCCTCTCTGTAGAAATAACTCCTGTGGAACAGTTGACAGGGGAAAAAATTGCATGCACTTACCAGTATTATATTTACATAAACAAAATAGTTAATATCTTAAATTTTTTAAATCATCCCTGTAAGTGCTCTCTAGTAGTGGTTTTAAAGATAGAATCCAACAATTTCCACTTTGAGAGTTTTTTTTTTTTTTTTTTTAAATAGAAGGCTGACAGTCGAAGCTCAGCCAGGGCAGTACTTTCCTTAGAGTGCCTGTTTGACATATTTAATTGGGCTGGGATCTGACGATGCAAGCTCTGATTCTTTTTCTCCTGTGCCTCATTTCACATCACCTGTCCCACGTTAGCCCCTGAAATCAAATCAGGAAGTTTTTCTCTCCTAATTGCTCTGCAGACTACTTGCAGAAGGAATAGGCAGACCTGAAGGTTTTGAACCTTGAGCCTCCTGTGTTTGCTGTAGTCTTGAAGTGTGTCAGGGGCTCTTTTGCAACTTTTCCTATTGTCATTTATACCCCTACCACCACCCTTTGCCACCCTAACTATCTTTTGTTAAAGGCGCTCAGAGTGGCCAGAGCTCCTGACTGCTGAAGGATGTTAGGAGCCACTGGGGTACTCAGTCTTCTGAGTTGACATCAGATTCTGGGATATTAGGGAAACATGTCAAAGTTGATATTCCAGAGAAGCATCAAAGGATAATCCTTAAAACTTTTGACTCTTTCCTCTCAGATAATCCGTGTCCTCTGGTGGTACTACTTCTCCAAACTCATAGAATTCATGGACACCTTCTTCTTCATCCTACGCAAGAACAACCACCAGATCACGGTTCTGCATGTCTACCACCATGCCTCCATGCTGAACATCTGGTGGTTTGTGATGAACTGGGTCCCCTGTGGCCACTGTAAGTATTAGAGGAGGGGGTGCCTTGAAACAGATGTGAGCAAAGAGAGAGTTGAAACTAAGGCCTTCAGAAAAGGTGCTGTTTCTGTAGGTTTGTAAGTCAAGCTTTTGAACTTTGTGTCTGAGATGCTATTAATGATAGTTTGTGTGGCCTATACACACAGAATCTTTTTCTGGCTTAGTAAATGTCCTGTGCTGATTGGGCAAGGTGAGGGTGATACCAGCAAGGGACACATTAAAAGATACAGTGTTCTTTATAATAGAGGGCAGCTGTCACAGGTTCTTTCTAATCCTTCTCTAGGGTGTGGAAGGTATTTGCCTGACAAGGGCAGGCCAGGAAGATGGAATTACACTGTTCAGTGGGTGCCAGGGAATGAGGCTAATTATGAAATACAGCTTTATCTAAGTTGTATATTAGGAAGTCTCCACATATTCTAATGGCCCATGCATCCCATGAAGCACGGTTATCAGGGTGTCTTCTATGACAGGCATCAAAATTTGATAAATTCTCTAAGCAATGTCTGGTTTTTGGAAAGCTTGTGATTAAAGTCGCCTTAAAATTTTCAGAGATTAAGTTGCCACCTTCAGGTTTAGCTTGGGAGTTTTTTTTTGTTTTTTGTTTTTTTTGTCTTTTTGTCTTTTTCCGTGTCCGGCAACGGATCACAACCCTCAGTGTTGCCCCCGTACCGGACCGGGGACCGGCAACAGGATCGCAACCCTCGGCGCCGCTCCCGCGCCTCGCTTAGCCAGCGAGCGGGAACCGGTCTGTATGCAACCCTCGGCGGGAGCGCCGCCGCGCTTCCCAAGCGGCGCACTATCCAGTGCGCCACTGGGCCGGCCCCATAGCTTGGGAGTTTTAACAAATGTTCCAGTCAAGATTCCTGTCATCCTGACAAAAGAATTTCACTGAGAACCTTTGGGTCTACTCATGGTTTGTTTGTTTGTTTGTTTCCTAGAATAGCACTGCCCTTGATTAACTTAGCCCACCAAGATTCACAGAGTCACAGAATCTTAGAACTAGAAAGGACTTTTCCTTTGAGTTTGAGAAGAAACTGAGATGCTAGAAGGGTTGTTAGAGCTTGGACCTCCATGCTCCCGCCCTTCCTAGTGTTTTTCCAACCATCATACCTCATGACTGTGGACTAACTGACCTAACTTTCTCATGGGAAACAGCCCCTCATATTTGAAGAGAATTTGCAGGATGACAGATTTTAACTAGCCCTACCTGGCTCATGAGAAACTGAATCAGAGAATGGGCATGACTTGTCCAAGGTCACAGAGCCAGTTACTGTCATAGCCAGGAGCAGAATCTCATTCCCTGGCACCAGCCTTGTGTACCTTTGACTGCACATGGAAAAGCCATGTAGCTTTGTATGGTTGCTTACTGTTGGGGAGGAGGACAGAGACTCTGAGAGAAGAACTTAGCAGTCCTACTGGAAATTGAAAACCATGTGAATAAGATGCATATTTTATCCTTGAGGAACTGGACTCTGGTCTCTATTATTAAGGACAGAGACTCTGAGAGAAGAACTTAGCAGTCCTACTGGAAATTGAAAACCATGTGAATAGATGCATATTTTATCCTTGAGGAACTGGACTCTGGTCTCTATTATTTATAAAAACAAACCTCAGCACTGCAGTCCTGGGGAATAATTAGAAGGTAACTTTAAAAGCCTCTCCAAACCCCAGCAAATGTGTGGAAACAGCCAGCTTTGAGCATGCTGTCCATCGGCCGTCTTACCCCCACCTTCAGAGTGGCATATCTGAGGCAGCTGGGCATGTAGAGAAAAGCAGCTGCCTCTGGGTGTTGGTGGGGTCTGGCAGCAAAGCCTACAGGTGCCACAGTGGGCAGGTGGTCATGGCTGCTGTGTCAGATGCCCACCTGGTGGCAGCAGCTGACCCTGGGCTTAAAGCGTTATGATGGCTGCCTGCCCATGTGGAAGTTGAATTCTCATTACACATCCAAGCAGTGCTTGCTGCTCTGGTGTTTGCCAGCCCTCGTTCCAAAGCATCTCTTTTTCTGATTCAAAAAGAATCTTGGAATTTTTTTTCACCTGTCGTGTATAAAATGCTGATGCATCCTCCTCCCCAAATCTCCTCTGTTCCTGCAGCTTATTTTGGTGCCACACTTAACAGCTTCATCCACGTCCTCATGTACTCATACTATGGTCTGTCATCTGTCCCTTCCATGCGTCCGTACCTCTGGTGGAAGAAGTACATCACTCAGGGACAGCTGGTGAGTAACTCGGCCTCCTTCCCCCAGGACTCGGTCCCTGGTGGACACAGAACTCTTCCTGGCTTTATTGTTGTTTCATAGCATCTAAGATGTCCCTTCCCCACCCTTTCTCATGTGATCCAGTTAAACCACTTGAAGTAGGTAGATCAGGGAATTTCCTTATTTTTCAATCGATGGAGAAACTGTGCCCCTGGGTATATAGCTGGATGAAGTGTAGAGTGAGGACTAGAATTTAATTCCCCTACTTCAATTTCAGTTCTTTGTTCTTAGTTTGTGCATATAAGCACATATGCACGTGTGTATGTATGTGTGTTTTCTATAGTCCAAAAATCCAAGGTGAAAACTGTGTTCTCAGGAGTTTTAGATGGAGCTGTGGAATAGTATGTCCAGCATGCTTGTAGCTTTTTAGGTAGTGAGGATATTTATTAAGGCAGGTGCTGGGTGTTCTCTCAGCCCCCAGGTAGTGATCTGTTGGTGAGAATGCACCTGCTGTGCTGCATATGCCAGCCTTCTTCCCATGGCTCACCATGCCAAGGCAGGCCAGCAACTCTGCACTTGATTGTTGTTTCTCACCATCCTTAAGCCTTCCCCAGTTGTCAGTATATTATATTCCTCTCTCCTCATGAATTCTTTCATGAACTAATTATTAATATTGCTACTACTGAGGTTCAACACTGACATTTACCAAGTGTTCACCATGTGTCAGGCACTCATGCTAAGTAAGCAATTTTAAATGGATTGTCCAGTAGCCTGATTTCATATTATTGTCCCCATTTTATAATTGACACTGAGCCGATAGACCAAAGCTTAGCTGACTGAGGGGCACAGACATTAAACCCTTAGCCTTGCCTTGCCTTATTAACACGTTTTTCTGAACAAGCTGATTCCCTTTAAGTCAATTGTGATTTTTCAATATTTAAAAATAACAATCTGAAAAAAAATCTGAGAAAATCTGAGCTTGTATGTTTGACATTTGATTATCACCTCCCTGCCAGCTGCTATACAGTCCTTGTTAAATTTTTCTCACCCACCTGTGAGGAAGGATAATTATGCTTTAACCTCCTTGTCACACTTGAGGAGAAACTATGTTGAGATTGCTTTATACCACAGCATTGAGGTTCTGACAAAAGCAGAATTTGAAAGAACAGACTGGGGAAGTGGGTCTCCCATTAGGCTATGTACTTTGAGGTAGAAGATTCTACACAGTTTGTCTAGATTTACTTTAAGCACCACTCCTAGTTAGTCTTCAACCTAGAGTACTAACCTTAAAAAAGAGAAGGAAAAAACTATTTTCTATGTAGAAACATTTGAAGTTGCCAGAAATCCAGTGGGCAGGATGCAGCTCTCTGTTGTTCTTCCTGAAGATGCATCCTCTGGTCGCCACTACTTATTTTAACACCTTTTCACTGTTCTCCAAGCAGTTCCACATGCTCGTCAGGGTTTACTCATCACAAATAATTTATGGACTTAGTTTTATTTGCCAGTAAGACTTAAAATCTACTTATCAGCCTTCATCAAACCAAAAGGCTACATGCATAAGAAATAAGAAGTGTCCAGTTGGATTGTACATCCTGCAGTGATGTCACCAGTTCCCTTGAAACATACATCTCTCACCTTTCCTTCTTCTCTTTTAAAAAATTTTGTAAAAACAAAACCAAACCTTTGCATCTCTCTATACTGTGTCCTTGAATTTTGGAGAGGATAGTTTTTTGCACTGCACACATAGCACAATGTTGATAAGAGAAGCTGAGTGTAGTGGGGTGAAGTGGCATTTTAACAGTTCTAATAGTTTAGTGAAAGAAAGCAGATCTTTTTTTTTTTTTTTTAAAAAAGATGACCGGTAAGGGGATCTCTACCCTTGACTTGGTGTTGTCAGCACCACGCTCAGCCAGCGAGCAAACCGGCCATCCCTATATAGGATCCGAACCCGTGGCCTTAGTGTTATCAGCACCGCACTCTACCGAGTGAGCCACGGGCCGGCCTGGAGAGGATAGTTTAAGTAGCTTAGAAGGGAGAGGGAAAATAATATATGTAAGACACAGAGAGTTTATTATATAGTATATGCATCATGTTTATGAAATGACTTCTGTACCTACAGAAAGGTTAATAAGTGTTAATTCAGAAACTTGGGGATGCTAGGTAAAATGTCCATCTGGCATGGGATCTCATCTCTGAACTGTCACTGCTCACCTGTATCCCCTGTTGTCCCCTAGCTTCAGTTTGTGCTGACAATCATCCAGACCAGCTGTGGGGTCATCTGGCCATGTGCATTCCCTCTTGGTTGGTTATATTTCCAGATTGGATACATGATTTCCCTGATTGCTCTCTTCACGAACTTCTACATTCAGGTAAATCTCACCCTTCTCTGGTGCCTTGGTACTTGGGGTCTTTACCAACAAAAGCCCCGATTCATTCATTGAGCAGGGATATGTAGAGCTCCTGCTGGATGTCAGGCACTGTGCTCTAGTGGTGTCATACAGCCAATTAGGAGATGCTCAGATCTATTCTAGGTCCTGGGCAAGGGGAGCCTTGGGATTCACGTGGGAAATGAAAAACTGTTCAGCAGGATCCTGTATTGCTTCCCTCCAACCTGTGGCAGAGAGGTGATTTTCAGTCAAAAGTCTCAGCCCCACTACCCTGAACGTCATGGCTAAATGAAATTCAAAAGAAGTTTCTGTCACAGCCCTTAGATATAGAAATCTGCCTTTTTATGTTCTCACTTATTTTGGGGAGCTAAAAATTAATAAATAAATAAACAAACACACAAACAAATAAAGGGTGTGGGGAAGAAGACAGAATAACCACAAAAATTCCTTGAACTATTTAAGCCAAGTCCACAGATATGATGTGGGGGGTGGGTAAAGGGGCGTGAAAATCAAGTACAATGTATTTTAGAAGTAAAATTAAATTAAAAAAAAAA